TGCCCACTAGAGTGTGCACATGGTGTCCGGCTTTGCCGGCAGATGTTCAGTTCAGACGTGACTTATGTCACGACGTGACTTATGTCACGAGATCAGTTATCAGTTACGTGATTTATGTCACGAGATCAGTTATCAGTTACGTGACTTATGTCGCGAGATCAGACCGGTATCAGATATCAGTTTCAGTTCAGTTATATATGCCAGGATCATGATATTGTTACTATTTTCGATGTTTTACATTAGTATGAGTTTCCACGGAGCACAGTGCCGTAGTGCTCACTCCCCAGTTTTATCATGTTTTTCAGGTCAGGACGTCGGGCCGGGAGCATGAGCGTGACGTGACGGGACATCAGGATATTTATATTTTGGACTGTATAAATATGATTATGACTTACGCTTCCGCTTACGATACTTTGATGACTTTTGATGTTTTGATGGTTTTGACGAACTTTTGAGAACTCATGATTTCAGTAACCAGACGTTTTTATTAAAACTAAAGTAACGGTTTTTCTAAAGATAAGTCATGATTTTTAAAGGTAGCACCCCTAATCAGTTTTCACAAAGTAAAAAGGTTTTATTTTTAAAGACTTTGCGAATTATTGCGCACTCTGATTTGATAGTAAGGAGGGGTGTTACATAACGATTATAATTTTATTTTTTCTATTTTTCTTTTTTAGAACTAGTGGTAACCGGCCCTTAGAAATAGGCGGGCCGGTTACGGGCCTAGGATTTCAGACCCGTCGACCCGGTGGGCCGGCCCGGGCTTTGGCCACATCTAAAGTGACCTTAACACTTTTGTATCTAAATCCAACTGCTGCAAAATGGGTTCGCTAGTCAGAGTTAAGGCTGGCCTAGAAATCAAAATAAAATACCTTAATTTCTTATTTATCTTCATTTCCTACTAATAAAATTATTTCAACTTATAATAATGAACTCACCTAAGTCCACATAATAATATTAAATTATTTATATATTATAAAGAAAACCTTATAACAATAATACAATATAATGTAATTAGTATTTAAAAAATAAAAATTTATCCCCGACCCCACCTAGGAGCGCCTAATCCCACCTGGGCCTGACTATATGGCCGCATATGTCGATTTTTATTAGTAGTTGGATGTTCAAAAGCAAATTCAAAATAAAGAAACACCAAAGTGACTACCCCGCGACGACCGCAATATCGACGTCAATGGAGTGGTGATGTGAGACCATTTCCAATCTCTTATGGTACTCTTTATTTAAGACCCAAGTTTGTAAATGACCATTCTTTGATTTTATTTGGTTATTAATATTTCTCATAAAATATTATAAAAATGATAATTGAAATATTTAAAATATCGCTGATCATATATTCCATCATTTATTATTAGAGATCAATCTCACAAGAACAAAAAAGTCATCGATCTTGATATAGCCATATTCGCGTAGACATGAATGTTGATAGCTCGACTGAGCCGTAAGTCGAGAACTATCAAATGACGACTATACATAGGAAGACGATGACTTGGGATCCTTGACCTTGATATCGACTTATGAGATGACGACTTGGAAGATGAATCTAACCACGGGGCAACTTAATACAGGCGAAGACGATAATTCAAGGATCTCGAGGAGTATCCAAGAACGACTAGCGAGATGGCAGTAGTGGCTTCATCACCCAATAAATCTTCAATTTCATGTTACAATAAGAGTGTGTTGACGGTGGAAGAACAATATTAATTTATGGTGGGGTTTTGTTATTTTACATTGATAAACATTTTTGTTTTATATTTTTGATATTTTTTTGTCATTCAAGTTTTTGTTTTTCCATTCTTTCAGATGATAGTTGCATGTGATTTTACATAACGAATGTACAGTTGTTATGACATTTCATAACGAAGGTAGTTTCGTTATTTGACGGTTATTTGAGAATGTTTATAATTATAACTATAATATGTTAGGATATGCTGTAAGAGCTTGGCTTTCAGATATTGACAAATCCATTTTGACCTGGCAATTATGTTTTAGTCAAAGTATTTATGCATGAAGTTTATTTATTTATGCAATCGAAAGGAAGAGATGAAACGAAAATAAATTCGGCTAAATGACGTCTATGCTTATCATTCGAGTAATGAAATAAAGAAGACGCGCCTACATCAATCGTCGCGAATGCAACGTTACTACTTGGGAGTTGCGTTTGTATCATATCAATCCCCACTTTTACCGGATGATAATTTCTTCTATGTAGGTTCAACGTTCTGTAACCCAGCATACGTCTGCAAACAGTAGAAAAATGATTCTCACATTTTTTCGGATTGGGCACCTTTGTGGAATGCCGATAGAATACGTCGGATTTTAGAATTTTTGATCGATCGCCGTGGCCGCCCCTGCTGTCGGAGGCTGGCTGCACCTTTGCCTGCTGTTGAGGCTCTTGTGTCCCTTAACCTCCTAAGATATCATCCAAATCGCCCTCATACGGTTGTTGTTGTACTCCTCGTGTACGACCTCTTGGATATCATCATTGGACTCAAATATGTTGTCGATCGTCGCGGGATTAATATCATCGGCTACAGCGAGAGCATCTTGATATATCGTTGGCCTCGTCATTGTCGGAAATGGAGGTCGAAGAAGGTGCACTGCTATTTTTACGTTATTGTCCGGAGCCCGGGCCACGACCACCACGGGAGCTCGACCTTTTGTAATTTGAAGAATAATTTATAAAGTAATAAAATGAGGTGAAAAATATATAAATGAGAGTAAATTTATAGAACCGTACCTGAAATTATTGTGATCTTATAGAATGAGAAGTTTGGAACTGAAATGATATATAATCGGACCGATTTTCTTACAAAACCAAGCACAAAAGCTCAAAACAGAACACTTAAATAATGTAGAATTGGGGAAGAAGAGAGATTGCTGACACAATGGGAAGAAGAAAAATGATTGGGTTGAGGAGTAATTAAAGGTGTTTTATATTTTTTTTTATTTTTTCATTTTTTTTTCGAGATAGATACATGCCAGGTTGACTCGAACCCGGCCGATCGGGCAAAGGATGGCCGTTGGATCCCAACGGTCAAATGATCCAACAGTACAATTAAAAAATGTGACCATTGAACTACCTGGCGGGTAACGTCTGACCCGAAATCGGGTTTTGACCCGACTACTTATTTTTTTTTAAAAAAAAAATAAAAATAAAAACTGACCATTGGATTTTCAACGTCAGATTGATTTGACGGCCCAAATTCAATTTGGCCATCGGTCCCCAACGAGTGACCCGACCCAGACAAACCATCTTCCAGCCCAAACACGCCAGAATTAAGAGCCAGAATTGGCCCGTTTGTAGCACGAGTCCAATTCAATGACCATTACATACGAGCGGGTTCCATGCCGACCCGGGACATGTCTACTCCATGGCTCTAATTGGCGCATTCAATTTAGAATTTCAAAGAGGAGGGCGGGACAAGGCGGGGGTCCTTTTGGTCGCCACCACTCTTTTTGTCTACTTTTAATTTCCCGCTCCTCTCTGCCACCATTCATCCCACTCTCATTTCTCAAGATCTTAATTTTCGACTGAGAACGCACCGTATATTCTCCACAAAGGTCAGTTCAAATGTTCAGTGCTTGTATGCACGTCTTATAGATTAGGTTTCCTAATTGCTTGGATGATTTTTATGTTCTATTTTGTTTGATTTAAATCGTCAATTGAACCCCCACTCCTGAAAAAGGTTATTCATATAAAATGTGTTTTTGAATCAGCTAGGTTTCATTTTTTGATGTTTGTGTTTGTGAACCAAGATGCTGGGAATTAATCGACGCCCGGGGAAATCAGTGAATTGAATTCGCCTGATTTTAAGCGTTAATTTCGACTAGTTCGAGTTCTGGTGATGGCTGAGGGAAATGCATCTGAAGGGTCTGCTAAACCGAGGCAAGTCCTCGGCGATCTCACCAATATACTCGGAAAAAGGGGATCTTCCGAGATTGAAAAAATTGGGGTCAAGAGTTCAAATTTCATCGACAAAGATTCAGCCAAAAGGATCCGTGTTGTGCCTCCTGCTCAATCTGAGATTCACTCACCGAAAGCCAACACAAATCAATTGCGGTGTCAAACCGTTTCCAAGATCTCAAGCAATCTCAATGCTGACATAAAAAATGATGCTTTACCAAATGTGAATCTCACGGCTGCTGAAAATTCTGATGGCCCAAACTTGACTGATCTGAAAGAGGAAAGAGTGATGAGTTCTACTGCCTTTGAGGAGAATGAGATTCCGCAAACCGGCCAGAGTGAGTTCGTCAATGTTGAAGGAAACGAAAATGACCTTAATATAAATGAAGGCAGCCGGGTTGGGTTTGGCAGCTCAAAAGAGTCTAAGGTAGTCGAGGATATATGTTTTAAAGCCGATGATGGGTTGTGTGATGCTTTAGAGGCAGCTACTGAGACCGGTGTCTATTGTCTGGATAAAGATAGTGGTTTTGATGGTTATGAGTCCAAAGGAAGTCAAAGTGATGCAAACGAGTGTCATCATCACCCACCTCATCATGATGGGGATGAGCATAATTTGGCATTGAGTCAGTGTGGCTCCGTAGATTGCGTGAATATTCTACCTGAGTCCCAGGAGTCTACTGTATTTGGGATGGAGAAATTCGCGGAGATGAGAAATGGGAAAGAAAAATGTGTCTCTGAGGAGACAGAGCCAACAAGAACTTGTTCTTGCTCTTTTTGCAAAAAAGGTATCAAATGTGTTTATTGTTTTGTTGCTTTCTGATTGTTGTTTGTACATTTGAGCATAACATTTGGGGGCATTTTTTGCCCTTTAAAGAAAAGGTGAAAAAGAAAAGAATGAATAGGTGAGGAGCATTTTGCTTTGTGTTCCTTTGACATTTTAGGATCATTTAGTTGGATGAAGTATTAATTGGGCTCGTTCGTTTGTTTGATAATCAGCTGGATATATGTGGTTGGACCTCAATTACCAGGACATCAAGGCTCGAGTACCAGGTTAGAAGATTCACACTTGTTATATGAGTTACTAGTGAAAATGATGGGTTAACTTGCTTGCAAACTTCATAAAAATATTTGCAGAAAATAATATAGTTCATTCATTATTATTGATACTTATTTACTATTTTCTACCTATGCATTGCTTTAAATCATACAGCACTTAAGAAGAGCCAGAAAGAAGCAAGCATACTGGCTGAAAGAATCATCCGGAGTAAGAGTATCGAGAAAAACAGTGCTGAAAGCTTCTCCGGATCTTCGAGGTTAGAATCTGATCTCGTGTGCCAGTGGGTGTCCCTTTTTCAACACATGGCGGGTGTACTGGAACAAGAAAGCAATCAACTCGTAAGTTTTTGCACACCTGATATAAGTTTATTAATTTTTTCCTGAAGTTAAGAGTTTGATTTTGGACATCTCTAGGAACAATGCATTGTAGGATAGATGTGCGGATGCCTAGAACTTGAAATGTTACAGGCCCTAATCTGTTTTGTTGTTGATTTAGTTTTAAGGCACACCAGATTTGTTAATTTCATGTTAACGGAGCAAATGTTATTATCATTACCAAATAGATATTATAAATATGAAAATGTTGCTTACAACTTTTTTATCTTTCTTTTTGCTATATCAAGTCATGATGCCTTTTTTAGAATGTTTTCTGGCATTCATCATAAACATATGATGTGTTCAATTTGTAATGGGTCCGTCTTCTTATTTTATGAGAACATACTACAGAGTCAGGAAAGTAATACTCCCTCATATTTTTAATAAGTGTCGTTTTGAGAAGTTGCACAGTTATTAAGAATATTTTTTTTGCCAATAATTATCCTCATTAATGAGGATAGACATGAATGTTTTGAGAAAAGATGAAGAGTGAATATGAAAAGACGTAATGTATTTATTAGTTAGATGAGTATAATAATGGAAAAATATGTACAAAATATCCAAAACGACATTTATTTTGTTAATAGTTGATAATGCCAAAATGATATTTAAAAAGAATAGGAGGTAGTATATTTTTTCAAGTGAACTCAGGAACAAAATGCTATGATTTCAAAGAGTCTTGAAGCATTGCTGCCTAATATTGGACCATATTGCATAATGGCGAATTTTAAGAAGAATATAATATGAATCAATCGCCTTTTAGATGTATTGCTAAGTGATATTCAACTGGTGTACAGGGTGAAGGAGCCTGTTTGATGTTTGAATGACTCGGCTCTATATGATATTTGAATGACTCTGCTCATTTCAATAATCCGTTTGCTTTTTGCAGGAAAGTAGATTACTACCACTGAACGATTTGAGAGAAAAATGCAAAAGAGACTTGGAGTCGATTGGTGATGATTGATCGGTCTGAACATTAAGGTCATGCCAAAGCTCCTATTAGTGTCTGTAAGATTAATGAAACTTTTACTATCGATTAATTTTTGCTGTTTTATCAACTTTTATTTCTTTAAACAACTGTGTTCTAAAATTTCTATGCTTATGTGAATATTGGGTTTGTGGATCGTCAACCTGTTAATGTTATTTACTGCAATGCACAAAGGGAGTTCCATGTTACTTAACCATGAGGTTTATGAAAATTTATGTTGTTGCCATCGAGTGACTGAAGATAGAGATGTAAAAGTTGTGCAGTATTTTCTGGGGCAAATTGAAAAATCATCCAATGAGGTTTAACTTGACTGTGAGAAGTTCTTACAAACTCATAGAATTATAAGATATGTACTACTTTCTGTGTTTTTCTTTTAAAGTGCTATAAAAGCATTGAATTTGTAGTGATATCTGTATCACAATCCTTATTCAATTGTATTGAGCAAATAATGCTGAAAGATATAATGTCATGATTAGAAATGGATTAAGAATGAGACAAGTCTTAGGGCAAAAGAAAATGTGAATTGTAACATATCTTAATAAGTCATTTCTTGAATAAATATGACCGGACTCCGTATTTAGTTTATTTATTTTCTAAAATTATTCGTCTTTTAATTTATTTCCTTAGTTATTTGATTAGTATTGGTAAAAAAATAAATTTGCCCTAACTTGTTAGACAAGATAAATAGAATTAGGAGAGTTGAGACTTGAGACTCGATATATTATCTTTCATATATGCAAAGTCGATCGGCTATTTTGAAGTTGAATAAAAATCTTTGAGTTTTATCTCGTATTTCCCAATCATCGGCTACGCTCTACTTCAGTTGGGGTAAAAAATGTTTGGTGAATTTCAAGAAGAAAATGTTTTATTACCTTTTAGTTTGTATCTGTTTGTGTAATTTAATACATGTTCTCGCTTCTTGTTATTAGCCTATTGACCCAGGTTACGTGACTATATATGTATGTTTACTTGTGCTAGGATACTCGGTGTTTCAATGAACAATGTGTGGTGATTCGGATTAGGCGTGTCAAAATGAAAGTGTATGTAGTTGAAATAGTAAAAAAATAAATAAATAGAAAAATACCTCCCTATCTCGAAAGAGGATCTGCAAGACTTTGTTTGGAGTCACGCACTCAAACATACGAACCACGCGAAATTTTAACGGACATCTTTTGTTTCTTTCAATTTCATTAATGGTACCTAAGGGGATTTCCATCGTCGAATGCTGGTGTTTTTTATATTTCGAATTTTGGATATTTGGAATTATGCCTACTAATATTCGTGTAAGTGGTTAGATTGATTAGCATGTTCAATATTTATATGGAGGTGAAATCTATCTCAAGGGAAAATTAAATATTTTCCAAAAACAATTCACGCGTATAGCCACGATTTTTGGGCGTTTATGACATGATTGGTATAATGGAATGAAATGTCGTAGGAATGAAATGAATTGAAGAATAGAATGATTATGGAAATGGAATGAAACATGTTTTGTTATTGATGCGTTTGGTATGCAGAAGGAATAAGACCTGGAATGACATTATCATTTTTTATTATAAAAATAAATAAAAGTTTTTTTAAAAAATAATATATATTATTAATAAATTATATGTAAATGCTTTTTTTAATAATATATAAAAATAAAAGAATATATTTTTTAATAATATAAAAAATAATATATTTTTAAATTATATATAAAAAATAATATATTCTTAAAAGTAATGTTCTAAAAGTCGCTAGGCGCCCGCGAGGCGCTCGACCAGCGCCTAGCGCCTAGTCGTCGGGGCCTAGAAATCAATATTAAATACCTTATTTATTATTTATTTTAGGGTTAATTGCAGTACAAGCTTTTGTTCAATTGCAAATTAAACTCCACTCTTTCAATTTAGCAACAAAATACCATACTTTTCTTAAGTGTTGCAAATTTGTCTCCAAAAACAAATCCGGCAATAGAAGCTGACATGGTTGTTCGGAAAGTTGACGTGGAACTCAACATTTTAATTGCAACGCCACATCACCTCACACGTAGGACGCCATGTCACATTGCATCCATGTCATATTTATTTCTTATTCCTTAAATTTATACTTTCCCCATTTTATTTATTTTGTAGCGAGATTATTCAGAAAGAAAAAAAAAAAATTGCGACGCCCCTTCTCAGAAAATCTTCATCCTCTCCTCACCGTTTTGAAGAAGAAATACTATGTTCCTCCGTCACTCTATCATCTCCGGCCAATAGGTTTGTAATACCCACCGATTTTTGCCCTTTCGATGGCTTTTCGGAAGCCCTAGGTTACCTACGGCCACCATGTCCAGCCCACTTGTCCGAATATTCTCCGACAACTTCCGGAATCCGGCACCCTCATCACCTCCGACCACCACTCCAACTGGCGACAACTCCTCCGACAACTCTAATTGCGTCAACTTCCTCCTTCCGCTCGTATTTCATTGGTGACTCCAATATCCTATACGACCCCAAATTCGAGGTATTTGAAGCTCTTATATGTTTTGGTGGTTGATTGGTGTGTGAGAATACAATTTTGGGTGCAATTTGTTCAAGTATTTCATCAAGTGCTAACATTGAACTCCCTCACACCAAGTGCTCGATAAAAAGCCTAAAAGGTTTCTACTCTCACGATGGGCAAAGCAACCGCTACCGGGGCAAAAGCAAAATTGACAAAAACGGGAGGAAAGCGAAAAGCGGGGAATCTTCCCAAAGTGAGCCGACAGATCTCCGACGAAAGTATAATCTTCCCAAAGCGTCGCGATTTTTTTCTTTCTGAATAATGTAGCTGCAAAATAAATAAAATGGGGAAAAGTATAAATTTAAGGAATAAGAAATAAATATGACATTGATGCAATATGACATGGCGTCCTACGTATGAGGTGATGTGGCGTTGCAATTAAAATGTTGAGTTCCACGTCAACTTTCCGATCAGCCATGTCAACTTCTATTGCCGGATTTTTTTTTGGAGACAAATTTGCAATACTTAAGAAAAGTCTTGTATTTTGTTGCCAAATTGAAAAAGTGGAGTTTAATTTACAATTGAACAAAAGCTTGGGGTTTTTACTGCAATTAACCATTTATTTTAACTACCTGCAAAATAAAGTTATCTCAACTTATAATAAATCGACACACCTAAGTCAAATAATAAAAATTAATATATTTTAAAGAAAACATGAGAACAAAATAATATAATTTGTATTTAAAAAATTAAAAAAAAATTAAAAAAAAAAAACTGAAAAATGCCGAGCCCGCCTAGGAGCGCCTAGGTCCGCCTATACCCGCCTAGGCGCTGTCTAACCGCCTGACCGCCGAGCCCGCCAAGGCCGCCTAGGCGTCTGGCCGATTTTTTTTGCCGATTTGTGCAAATCGGAGCGCCCGGGCACTGCCTAGCGCCTATGTGCCGCCTAAGCGGCCGCCTATGTCGATTTTTAGAACAGTGCTTAAAAGTAATATATTTTTAATATATAAAAATAATACATTTTTAATAGTATATAAAAATAAAAAGTAATATATTTTTAATAATTTATATTTTTATTTTTATTAAACAATAAATAAAAGTAAGTTTTCAAATTTTATTTGAATTTTATTTTTTAAAATAATACATTTTTAATAATATATAAAAATAAAATTAATAATATTTTAATAATATATATTTTTAACGTTTTTTAATTATATATTTTTAATACTATATTTTTAAACGTAATATATTTTTAATATATAAAAAATTATATATGTTTGATAATATATTTTTAATAATATATAAATATACATATATATTTTTTAAAATATATTTTTAATAATATATATTTTTTACATATATTATTAGTAATAAATTTTTAATATATAAAAATAATATATTCTTAATAATATATAAAAAATAATATATTTTTAAATTATATATTGATATAGCCACATTGGCTCATAGCGGTTCATACCATCACGGTTCGAGACCACCAAGTCGATTTAGACAAAGTCGACTCCTCTAGTAAGATTCCACGATACACGGTCAAGGATCCTGGCCACCGATCGAATCGACTAGCATATGTCGACTAGGATGAGTCGACCTCCGATAAGATAACGGTCAGAAGTATTAGGGTCCATTAACGGTGGGATACAATCCAGTCGACTCGACTCAATACCTCAAGTCGACTGGAGGAGTCTTGCAGTTCGTGGTTCCCGATAGCTTTAACACACCTCAGCATGTTGAAGAAGAGCTAAGGATAAGAAGGAAGTTAAGGAAGGATCTAGATGCTGACTAGGAAGTAGGCAGAATATGAACCGACCAGAGTATTCTGGACATTTCCATTAAGTCGGCCGGGGCACTTTGGGGACTTCAGGTAAATGTTGTACTCCTATATAAAGGACTGAGGTAATCTCAAAACCCTAACTCCCATTCATTCCATATCCTTTTGATCACTGCTGCTGCTCTGATAGCAGCTATCATCACCTCTCTCATATACTGACTTGAGCGTCGGAGGCTCTACGCCGGAAACCCCTCCGGCGTTGAGTTCTTGCAGGTGTTCTTGCGGCTCACAACAACGGTTCAATCGCCATCACATCAGATCTAAGCTCATCCGTACCGGTTCGTCCCAAATCCGGACGTTTTCTCATTAGACCGTTCCAGATCTGAGAAGAAACCCATCATATATAAATGCTTTTTTTAATTTTATTTTTATATAAGTATTTAATATAACTAATTAAACAATAAATAAAAGTAAGTTTTCAATATTTTTATTTGAAAATATTTTTAAAAATAATTTAATTTAATATATTTTAATCATTATTTATAATATATATTATATATTTAATTTTTATTATTATTTGTTAATTATATTTTTTGAAAAAATTGATTCCTACACACATGAGAATGAAAAAAACCTTCCAGGAACTATGGAATGACTAATCCCATGAAGATGAGTTTTGTCATTGAATGATCATTCCTTTAAAAAAATTATATACCAATCATGGGATAAGGAATGAGTAAGGAAATAATCATTCCATTCTCATGTCATTCCTTCATACCATCTCAAGGAAAAATTAATATTTTTTAAAAACAATTCATGCGTATAGCCGCGATTTTTGGGCGTTTATTGTAGTAGATCATATGCATTGTATTTTAATTAATGTTATTCTGGATTAAGTGTATTTTGAATAGCAAATCCCTTAATATAAAGGACTGTTTGTTTCTTTAATTAATATCCAAAAATATCAATTTCATTCCTAGATATCTCAATTCATCAAAATAAAAAAAAA